GATGACGTGTCCTTTTATTACTATTAATCATTTTGGTACTAAAAGAATTTTTTCCTATCCCCAGGAATCGAATAATACTCTATTATTTCCCATGCTTGTTTTGGTACTATTTACCTTGTTTATTGGAACTATAGGAATCCCTTTCAATCAATTCAATCAAGAAGAAATGAATTTGGATATATTATCCAAACTCTTAATCCCATCTTTAAGTCTTTTACATCAAAAAGAGTCTGTAGATTGGTATGAATTTGTAACAAATGCAACTTTTTCAGTCAGTATAGCTTATTTGGGGATATTTATAGCGTCTTCTTTATATAAGCCGATTTATTCATCCTTACAAAATTTAAAGTTCTTTAATTTGGTCGCTAAAAAAGATCCTAAGAGAAGTCTTTGGGACAAAATAATAAATGTGACATATGATTGGTCCTATAATCGTGGTTACATAGATGTTTTTTATGCAATATCTTTAACATAAGGTATAAGAAGATTGACATAATTAATTTATTTTTTATTTTTATTTTCCTATATGGTTTTTATTTTCTTAAATCACAAAAACCACATCGATTTAACATGAATCAGTATATGCCACTCAATTTAAATAGATGGTGAGAACTTCTAAACTAAGTACTTGAAATATTTCCATATTAAGGTTAAATAAAGAAGAAGAAGAAACGTCACCAACGATTATACTTCATATCACTAGCTATAAATTAGTAATGGCATTAATGTGCGTGCTTGATTTTTTTTTTTCCTTCTTTTTCATTGAAGGAACCATGGGATTTTGATTATAAATGTGGGTGTGAGAGAGGCTCTTTAATTGAAAAATAATAATTAATCTACTGTCGATTCTTGCATTTGAATCAATCCATGGAGGTTTCATCCGAAAATTGATTAAAAACAAGAAAGAAGGAAAAACTTTTATTACTCCTAAGAGGGGTCCCAGAAGAAATGGAAAAAGGAATTACACTAGTCCATACAAACTAATAGGGAAAAAAGCACTTTTATATCAGCATTTCGAAAAATCAGCATCAGGTTGCCCGGGAGACCATAAATAGCACAGGCTATTCTTTCATTTCTTATTCTGACCTATGCCAAGTGTGCTCTTCACAGAGTTCATTGCATCCTGAGCTACATGCTTCACTTGCTCTCCGGTCTGTGTACGCAAGAAAATAAGCTTTTTCATTACAAAATACCTACCTGATCGATATTGCGAAAACGATACAACATGTTTTGCAAAGAACTAAGTGTGCCATTTGATTCTGTAATCACCCTAATTAAGTCCTAAAGGGTACAAGGCATATGTTCCAGAGGGTTAAGAAAGGAGAAAATTACCTGCTGGAGGAAACCAGCGCTTTGATCCCTTTCTAGTTGGGCAGAATCCGAGGTTGACTGAGCACCAATCGATGTCCTTTCCGTAGCTGCATTTGCTGTATCCTGGATGCTGTCAGCCCACTCTTCTACCTTAGCCTGCTCCAGATTTCACAAACAAAATTATGTTCCTACCTTAAATGAGTCAGATAAAATAAAATTATTCCTTGTACGTGCTTTATGCTTTAATTTCCTACCTGGGTGTTGCCTTTGGTTTCTCCTGCATTGAAGCTTTGCTGCATGCTAGACATATTTCCTTGGAAATTGTTGGTAATATATGTAAACTTTACTGAACTGGATTAATTTAGAAATGTATCACTGGAGTACTTGTGTAAGTACTGGGTTTGTAAGGTGGATGTATATAGTGACAGAGGAAAGAGAGAGAGAGGAGCTGGGAATTCTTTTAGAGCGGGTTTTCCTGCTTTTGAAGTGGAATTTGAGGGACTCTGCGCGCATGCTGATTTGCCTGGTCAATCGATCCATTTGGTCCTCTACGAACAGAGAAGTACGGATCTCTACACTTGGGATGGTTACTTGGCATGCATATTTCGCGTCTTTTGTCCCCGAAGGGATAGGTGAATTTTAGAACATGAGATGTCTATATGACGTGTCTCGTGTTCAAATCCCAGCGGTGAAATGGAATTTATGGATAGGAAAGGGTTGTATCATTAGCAGTTCGTGTCTTCAAGACCTATTCGACTTTCCAATTTCTTAAAAAGAAAAAAAAAGAGAGAGGGACCTTTATATATATATATATATATATATATATATATCAGGACTAAAATTTGAAATCTTTTAAATCATATGCGAGGATCCTTACTTCTTACGATTTTGGTTATAGATCTACTGTTTTTTTTAAACAAAATTACATACAAACAAACAAACTTCATTAAAGTACTGGATCAATTTCAATCTACTTCTTTGAAGGTTGGAGCAAGTTTTTTTTTTTTTTCCCCAGTTGAATCAATGTTCCTCTGAATTTTAATTGCCAATTAATTTACACCTTACGTCTTCCATCTACGCCTGGCGTGTCCAACCCGCTTCTTTCTTCTTATTCTTCTTTTATTTTTTTTACATTTTAATTTGATTTTTTTTTTTTTTGCCATTTTTTTATGCTTTTCCCTAAAAAAAATTATTAATTTGAATTTTCTTTTCAAATTTATTTCATCGCAAGAATTTTTAATTTTTTTTAAATACATTTTAGATATCGAGAATCTCGTATGAGTGTATGAATCAAACCATATATCTATAATCTATCTATATAGAGGCAGAGAGAGCACATAAATTAAACTAAGTTTTGTTTTTATCAAAAATGATTTGTTGGCCCTTCATAGAATAAAGTCCAAAAATAAATCAACATCGCAATTCTAGGTTAAATTTAATTCTTGATGATAGAAAAGTTATTATTATTGTTTTTTAAAATACAATATGAATGTCTTAAAAAATTGTTATATTCATCAAATATTAGATATATTAAAAATGAAAAATAAAATGATTCAGCATGGATAAAAAAATAATGATCGAATTACACAACGTAGAATATATGTTGGTTCACAAAAATTTCGATAAAAAGATAAGTAACGTTTTTTCAATTTAATTTATGCAATTTTGATAATATTTTATGAGCATAAATCATTTGGAATATAAAAAATAGTTTCGAAAAGTAGCAAGTGTATAATTATATTTTAAAATAGGTGATTTGCAAATTGTATAAGTTGGTTATAATGTTTCTGAGTTAATACTTTCACATATTTTTATATAATATGTCAAATTTTCAATCTATTTCTAAATTCTAAAACGTCTCTATTATGTTTATGTTATTTTAACTGATTTTCAATTTGTTATTCCAATCAATTTTTTCAATCACATCATCTAAAAATGTCACATGACCTACACATGATCTTTTACTTTGACAAAAATACCTCTTGTAACTTAATATGTTAAGTTTTTAATTTGTCTTTATATAATGGGTTAAGTTTTTAATCTATCCTTAAAGCTAAAAAATTTATTATATTATTGTTATTAATTTTCCTACTAATGTGTTGCAATATTTTTGTTAATTAAAAATATATAAAAATAATTAGTACAAGTTATTGTGTAACAGTTCAAAAAATTATCATTTAATATATTTTAATATTAAAGAGTCTATTATATTATTTTCATTATAATAATTCCCATGTTTATAATATTGAACAAGTTGATGTAATATTTACCAATATATTAAATCATCTCTATAACAAAAAACATATGTGAATTGCATGCGAAAAACAAATAATTATATAACTAAAGAAAACATGTAATTATTTGTTTTTTTTAATTACATGCTTAAGAGACTAATTAAAAATTAATTGATTATAATTATTTTTTTATTACATGCTTAAGAGAATAATTAAAAATTACTTAAATATTATTATTATTTTAATTACAAGCTTAAGAGACTAATTAACAATTACTCAAATATAATTATTTTTTTTAAATTCCTTAAACAGTTACATAGTATCTTGTACTAATTATTTTTCTATATTTTTAACTAATAAAAAATTCACTATAATGGAACACATTATTAGAAAAATTAATAACAATAATAATGTGGATTTCTTAGCATTGATGATAGATTGAAAACTCAATCAATTATATAAGAACGGATTGAAAACTTGACATGTTATACTGTATGAGGTATTTTCGTTAAAGAAAAAAATCATACACATGTCATATGATATTTTCGGATGGTTTGACCAACAAAATTGATTAGAATGATAGATTAAAAATTGTCCCAAATAACATGAAAGTAATAGAGGCGTTTTAAAATTTAGGAATAGAATGAAAATTTGACTTCTTATATAAAAATATGTGAATGTATTAACTCTATTATTCTTTATTGTCATGGTGTAATTATCTATCAATTTTTTAATCTGTTTTTTATTTCTTGATTTATTTAAATTCAAATATAAAATATACTTATGATATTAAACGTTGTAAAATACTTAGTAAATTAAAAAAATCGAAGCTAATATTGATTTCTTTTAATTTCACATGCTTAAATATTTATAATTAATTAAAATACCGAAACAAATTTGATAAGGTTACCTCAGTAACCCTCAGGCCACAAAGCTATTGATATTTAATTAAGAAGAGTGATAAGGAGAGAGAAGAGGAGACCAACTAGTCTGTCAATCTTATTTATTATTTTTAATCAGCCAAAAAATGACAAGTCTTGTCTTACTTGGCCAAAAATGCCTTGGTTCGAGGAACAAGATTAAAAGTACCTTAATATATTATCATTATTTTATGTTTAATTATTTAGTTAAAAGAGAAAATTAGAATTGTAAAATTCGAACTTTATTATAAACATTCTCATTTCATATTAAAAAAAATCATTTTAATTCAAAAACTTAAACTTTAAGAATGATTTTATACTCTTTAGTACGAAAGAGGCTCTTAAATTGAAAAATAATAATTAAAAACGAGATAGAAGAAAAAACTTTTATTACTCCTGAGAGGGGTCCCAAAAGAAATGGAAAAGGAATTATACTTGTGCATACAAACTAATAGAGAAAACAGCACTGTATATCAGCATTTCAAAAATCAGCATCAGGTTGCTCGGGAGACCATAAATAGCATAGGCTATTCTTTCATTTCTTATTCTGACCTATGCCAAGTGTGTTCTTCACAGAGTTCATTGCATCCTGAGCTACATGCTTCACTTGCTCTCCGGTCTGTGTACGCAAGAAAATAAGCTTTTTCATTACAAAATACCTACCTGATCGATATTGCGCAAACGATACAACATATTTTGCAAAGAATTAAGTGTGCCATTTGATTCTGTAATCACCCTAATTAAGTCCTAAAGGGTACAAGGCATGTTCCAGAGGGTTAAGAAAGGAGAAAATTACCTGCTGGAGGAAACCAGCGCTTTGATCCCTCTCTAGTTGGGAAGAATCCGAGGTTGACTGAGCACTAATTGATGTCCTTTCCGAAGCTGCATTTGCTGTATCCTGGATTCTGTCAGCCCACTCTTCTACCTTAGCCTGCTCCAAATTTCACAAACAAAATTATATTCCTACCTTAAATGAGTCAGATAAAATAAAATTATTCCTTGTACATGCTTTATGCTTTAATTTCCTACCTGGGTGTTGCCTTTGGTTTCTCCTGCATTGAAGCTTTGCTGCATGCTAGACATATTTCCTTGGAAATTGTTGGTAATATATGTAAACTTTACTAAACTGGATTAATTTAGAAGTGTATCACTGGATTACTTGTGTAAGTACTGGGTTTGTAAGGTGCATATATATAGTGACAGAGGAAAGATAGAGAGGAGCTGGGAATTCTTTTAGAGCGGGTTTTCCTGCTTTTGAAGTGGAATTTGAGGGACTCTGAACGCATGCTGATTTGCTTGGTCAATCGATCCATTTGGTCCTCTACGAACAGAGAAGTACGGATCTCCACACTTGGGATGGTTACTTGGCATGCATATTTCGTATCCTTCGTCACAAAGGGATAGACTTGAGATGTCTATATGACATGTCTCGTGTTCAAATCCTAGTACCTAGTTAAATGGAATTTATGAATAGGAAAGGTTATATCATTAGCATTTAGCAGTTCGTGTGTTCAAAGAACCATTCGACTTTCCAATTACTAAAAACAAAGATATATTTATCAGGACTAAAATTTAAACTTTTAAATCATATGCGAGTAATTCCTTACCCCTTATACTTTTGGTTATAGTAATTTACGCCACACGTCTTCCATCTAGGAACTTTACCAAATTTAATAAAATAAAGTTTGTTCGGTACCCTAATATATAAGATTTGATCAATCTCCTCTTAATAGAATTGATCTTTTTTTTTTTTTTTTTTTTGAGGAATTGGTCAAATTAAATCTCCTACTCCCATTAAAACGTGCAAGTGGTGTGATAATTTATGTTAAAAAATACATCATTAGTAATAAAGGAAAACTGTATTGTTATTTATATTAAAAATTAATCATCTTAATACGAATTGATTTAATCACATCGAAATATACAAGTGCATTTTCTTTACGTTGATCATAAGTGAAGTATTAAATAGGAAAATTATATTTATTTAAAGCTCATCAAATATGGAAATTTATTATGGATAGGGAAACACAGATTCATTGGTCCTCGTAAATGGAAGAGACTTTCTTTTTTCTTTTTTCTTTTTTCTTTTTTTTACATTATCTGCATGCATTTAATAAACAAATAAAGCATCAATTCTAGCTTTTATTTGTTTTTTGCGTTCATAATGCAGTTATGTATTTATTTCTGTCCTCTAATTTACTTGTCTTTGCATAATTGGTTGTTAAAATTTTATTTATGTCCATTATAAAATGGTCAATCTTTTTTTTTTCGGGTTAATGGTCGATCCCCGTAGAGTAAATAACAAGTTAGTCTCTCTCTATTTTTTTAGAAATGAATTAATTAGTATTCTTTGTGTGAAAAACTAATTGTTTAATTTCTTAATTTTTATTGACTACACTTAATTTAATATTTTTTTTAAATCATGTTTTTCATCAATCTTTGTATATTTTTTATTTTTTTCCTCTTTTCTATTTTTTAAAACAAAAACGAAAGCAAAATAAATTGAAAAGGAGCAAAAATAATTAATTTATAAAAATTATAAAAACTAAATAATTAGTTTTTTTAAAAACTAATTAATTCATTTTTAGAAAATAAACAGATTAATTTATAATTTACTCATCTACTTAGTATCACGATAATGCCTCCTTTTCAACATAATGCATGCATAAAGAATGAAATAAAATAAATACCACCGTATATACAACAGTAATCTATAATCTATATTTTATAATATAATCGAAAACCTATCAGAGAGAATGGATGTGTTTGTGATTTGTGTTGTTGACTTTATTTATTTATTTTTTAATGCCATCTATATAACGATAAAATCAACTATTCATTATTGTGATACGCATTCAATATCCAATATATATATATATATATATATATATATATATATATATATATATATATATATATATATATATATATATATATTATTGGATATTGAGAAGCTCATCCATCTATCTATATAACATCCATCTATTTTCTATACATAATATGAAAATCAAGGATAATATTTATTAAGGAACTTGAATTCATCTAACTAAACTATCTATTGAGATCTATTAATTATTTACAAAATTACTGAGGGTGCTCATTAGAATAACAATTAGAAATTATTTAGGTAATTAACATGATAGTTCAAGAATAAACCTGACACATAATTAATAGGCTTCAGGATTCATGATAAAAAAATAAAAAGTTTTTAGAATTCTAGGTGCATGAAATTCGGAGTTTTTTAGGATATTTTCCAATCTATCTTTCTAAAATAATACACTTTAAATCTTATTTATTAAAAAAGAGTAGTTTTGCATTTTTTTCTACTAATTAAATTGAAATGTTTGAATATTATAAAAACCAAATCAAAACTTCACACATCTTCAACTTCTAATGACAAGTAGTGGCTTAACCCACTAGGTGATGAAAATAGATCAAAACATATTCAAATAGAAACTATGAATTTTATGCTTTTTCACCCTAAAATTGTTGATCATGGTGTCATAAACTAAATAAAATGTAAATTGATTCAAAATAATCCATTAATCATCTTGTTCATCAACCAAAACATCTTGCAAATTTAATGAAAAAAAATCAAATACTCATTTCCAGACAATCTTAATATTTAGTCATCTTTCATGACAAACTCCTATTAATCTATATTTTTTTATAACAGTTTCAATTCTCCAAAAACATGTTACAAGTATGTTGTTTCTTTCTCTACTTGATACCAATCAGAATTCAATTTTTTTGAACAAAACTATATTTGATAGAAGATAACATATGTATATATCTAGAGAATACTCATGAATCAAAGTAATAATTAATAACATTAGGTGATAGAAAAAATCAAAGTCATGCTAGTCTTTATCGTTAAAAAAAAGCTTTTTAATTAAAAAATGAGGATTTTATTGTTATGAACTAAAAAATCAACAACAAAAAAAATGTTCATAAAAGTCCAAATTTCAATTTCAAACTCAAATACAAAATAATCACATGATTATGTAAAATAAATTAACTTGGTAGACATTGTTGTGAACTCGGGGGGAAAAAAAACAAAAGAGAAACTGCTATAGAACTAGAAATAAAAATAAAAAGGCTACAGTGATGGGTAAGGGAAAAACAAAAGAAAATGAAATTGAGGTTATATATATATATATATATATATATATATAAAAGATTAACAATAAAAAATTAAAATAATGTTGACATGTATGTTTACATGACATTAAGGTATTGTTTGGTAATTAGAAATAAAATAGTGGAAATAGAAATAAAAGTTTTATTTGCATTTAATAATTGTTTGGTTGAAGAAATAAAGTGAGAATGAGAATAAAAATAAAAATTAAATATAGTTTTATTCTCACAGGAGAGATGGAAAGAAAAACAAAAAATGAGAATAAATTTTTTCTTTAAAATAATAATATATTATTTTTATTATTGTATATCAACTACTTCTATAATCATTACCATCTTCGTATTCACCACCACCGCTATCAATCTCATTGATTGTGGTGATAATTTTTTTTTTTAAAAAAAAGCTATCATTATTATTCTTCTCACACCATTCTTCCTCAATGACAACAATTATTTTTATTATACCACCACCATTAATTTTATTTATTAAAAGATAGTGCTTTTTAGTCCGTAGACATTCATGTCATTTTTTTCCTACTAACTAAATTAAAATGTTTGAATATTATAAAGACCAAATTTCAACTTCACACTATCTTCAACTTTTAGCAACAAATAGCAGACTTAACCCACTCGTAAAATAGATAATGGATATGTCAAAACAGATTCAAGTAGAAATCTTGAATTTTCTTGCTTTTTTCACCCTAAAATTATAGATCATAGTATAATAAACTAAATAAAGTGTAAATTAATCCAAAATAACCCATTAAGCATCATGTTTGTCAACCAAAACATCTTGAAAATTTAATGAAAAAATCATATACAAATTTCAAAGCATTCTTAATCTTCGGTAATTTTTCATGTCAAACTCTAGTCAATTTATATATTTCAGAACCATGTTAATTTTCAAAAAATATGTTATAAACATGTTCTACCTTTATCTACTTAACGCTAATCAAAATTCTTCTTCTTCTTCTTTTAACAAAATTGTATTTGATAGAAGATAACATATGCATATATATGGAGAATACATATGAATCAAATTAATGATTAACGACATTAGGTGAAGGAAAATATGAAAGTCATACTAGTCTTTGTGGTTAAAAAAAAAATTAATTAGAAAATGAAAATCCCATTGTTAAGAACCAAAATATCAATAAAATAAAAAAAATGTTAATACTAGTTTAGATTTTAATTTTAAATTCAAACGCAAAACAATCACACGATTATATAAAATAATTAACATTTCTTAGTAAATTAGCTTTTTGAGATCTCATTGAAATGCAAAATATTATCAATTTTTTTTTCATTGTTTAGCTTTTTTGTTGACTTTTCTTTTCCTTTTTTTGGGTTATAGATTATCAATATTAATTATCATTCAATAAAACACAAGTGATAAAAATCTTACTCGTCTCAAGTTTCAAGATTAATTCTTGCAAGTATAGACATCTCTCTTCCCTTGATTCTCTCTTAAAAAATCGACCGTAACTTTTTTGTTAGATACTAATATAAATTATACTTTGAGGCCTCACCTATCAGCTTAAGTTTTTATGTGAGATGATCCTTTAATATGGTATCGAGCAAGTCTTGACACTCGTGGAGTGTTGAATTTTGATATCAATGACAGAAATTCTAGTTAAGTATTTCACCATTTCGAGTTGAATGAGAGAAATTATGTTCATAATCTTTGTTTTTGATGTAAGGGTAAATATCATGGAGAAATCAATTGCAAGAAGCCATTTTGGACCCAAATCAGTGTAACTAATGATGTTGGTGGAGCAATCCTTTTAAATCATATGCGAGTAATTCCTTACCCCTTATACTTTTGGTTATAGTAATTTACGCCTTACGTCTTCCATCTAGGAACTTTACCAAATTTAATAAAATAAAGTTTGTTCGGTCCCCTAATATATAAGATTTGATCAATCTCCTCCTCTTAAGATTCGGTC